CGTAATTAAATTCCATACGTTAGTTGTTTTATAATTGACCTTTTGCACATTTTTCATCGCATGAATCCCTAAATGGGGTGTTACAGGTGGCCATTTCTGTTGCTCTTCAAATTTGAGTGCTACCAAAAATTCCTGTTGTCTTACTATCCTCTTGAAATATCATGATCAGGTTCGAGGAAACTATTATATGAGTATCAACCAGCCAGGTGCTGGATCTCACTGGCGCCGGACAACTGGCCAAGAAGTTTACTCACCCCTTCTTTTAGCTTTCACACATGAGGTATGCTTGATGCAGTAATTTAGAATTCCACATTCCACAACCTATTACCTAATAAAACATTTGATCTGACAGAAATCAGAAGATTGGAAAGCTTCTCATATAACTAAGGCGACAGCCATGGATCCAAACTATAGCTTACCTCTTAATGTGGCATTGATTACTCTTGAGGTGATTACATAAATTAATGCTTGATGATTTAGGTGATCTATCTACCTAAATCACTGAAATTGGTTTTGCAGGAATTAGAAGACAACAGTGTTCTCCTCCGTTTGGCACATCTATACGAGGTAAAAGTCCTTTCACATTTTGCTCCTCCATATTTCCATTGAAAAAAACAAGCAAAAACTAGTCTGGATAGATTTACAACTCAAGCTAAGGAGAATCTTACCTCACTTATTTGTCTCTGTGATGCTAGGTTCTTTAGGGATCTTTCTCTAGACTGTTAGGATAGCACAATACCCTTTAATATTGAAATTCAGTAATTGCAACTGAGCTTTACCATCTTGCCTTGTGAAAGAGAAAAACATGGCCTTTAATGTAGCACGCTTTCATTTAACTCGGTACAACCAATAATGGAGTAGCCAGAAATGCTGAAAGCTCTGCTAGGGTTTTTCATCCAAGCTTATGAGAACTGTGGAACATTATCTTAACAGCATTAACTTGCTGAAAGTTAAATTCAATGCAATACACTTGTTCAACATGCTTTACACTTTTAGTAATCTCAACACTGCTTTCACGCTATGAATGTGGTCAGGCTGACGAAGATGCAGACTATTCAAAATTAGTCAACATAGAACTGAAGAAGATGTTTGCTGGAAAAACTGTAAGTCTAGCCTATGTTTTATGCTGCCTCAGTTTTTCACTGTCCACATATTTTGTAAACAATATGGTCCGACTGCATTGCCATTTTGTATAACCCAATTTCACTGTGATTTCTAGTCAGAAACACAATTTGTTGGTCTGTGCATTTGAAGTATGTGTAGTGCTCAGTATTTAAAAATTTGTATTTCTACCTTTAAAATCCCCTAGGGACCAAATAAGATTGTAGCTAATATCAACTGAATTTATGGTTTTGGAATTTCTGGAGGGAACATAAAGTATTTAAAAATCTAAAGGAATTACAGTTTCAGCATAAGTAACCATTTGTTGATCTGGAGTGTCGGATTCTGGTTATGTTTAATCTTCTTCACAGTACGTATAGCTCGTGTCATTCCATACTTCTTCCAGTCCTTGGTCCAATTCTTCGCCATCAACTCGGGCTGGTCACACACTGGACAAGGACTGAAAGCCGAACTTGAAAGGATCTTTTCATAAAGATCAGTATGAAGAAATCCCAAAAACATATCCATAACTTAGTGTTGTTCACGAGTATGCCACATTACAACTGCAACAATAACAAATGTGGGTGTTATGCTTTCAGATAACGGAGGTAAAGGAGATGAGCTTATCAGCAAACCAAGAGAAATCAGAGATGAAGAGGTTGACATGGAAGGTTAAGGGGGACAGTGGAGGTGAGCCTGCACCAGTTAGAGGTGGCCCTGTAGATAGCTCCGCCCTTATTGTTGAGCTCAGTCCCATGGAGATTCGGACTTTCCTCTTGAAATTTTAAGGAGTGGTCTGCATTCATTGCCTTCTTCAGTTCTTCATGCCTTTTCTGTATCGAAACAATAATTTACCAAGTGCAAGCCTTTTTTCGCCCCAGCAATATTTTGTTTAGTAGTGAATTCAGTTGGTAAACCAGTGATGTGAACAAGATGCTGTATTCAAATAAACGAATTGTTATTCAACAAGAATTGCCTGTTGAAAGCCTCGTACTTGTTATTATGACATGCCTTTGATTAGACCGGAGAAAGGATTAGTCGAATTGCGTATAAACTGGCTGGACACCCCTGATCGTTAAATAAAAAAAAAGGATAGATTTCAATCCATGAAAAACTATCTATTATTATTGTGAAACCCTGTTTCTTGGGGACATTACAACTTACAAGTGTAACTTATGATAAATAAAAATGAATTTAATCCCAAATGATTTGGAAATGTGACTTTTGTTGAATGTAAACGTGCACGCACGAAAATATATTATCTATAGACTATTAATTAAGGTTGACGATGGGAGTTTGCTGCCCATATTTAAAATGTCTCTAATACTCCTCTTCTCTTCTTATCTTAATTGTCAGATCCGAACAAACTAATTAAACATTTTATTTTGTGTTGGGGGATTAGACGCGAGTATTTATTTTAGTCATGAGATTTAAAAATGAAATAGTTGAAAATACAAAGAAATAAGTATGGGTCTCGATGATAAACTTTTAGTCATGAGTTAAGAACTGGAGAAAAAAAAAATATAGGGGTGTGTAAGTTAATTTTACATGAATAGTAATTTTAGTTTGGTGATTAAGAAGTGACCTATCATGTGAAAATCGAACATTCATGATGATAAGCATATTAATATTAGGAATATGTGAAATTAAGTGGGTAGTAAGCATGAGATATCAACTTATTGTCAAAAAAAAAATGTGTTGGTGTATGCAAGAAATAGAATAGAAGGCTAGCAAAAATAAGCTAGTAGATTATTATAGGTGTGAATATATATATATGTGGTATATATATATACATACATACAATCATGAAGTAGACTCTCTATTAAGGAGGTCATGTGGATGGCATTAGGAGAGTGGGAGTGGCAGCTAAGGAGAGGGAATTAGTATGCATCCCACTAGTTGCATGTAGGAAAAATATATATAAAAAAGGATAAAAAAAAATTAAAGAAGAAGGAAAAGAAGCAAAATTACCCATGTCCTTGCAACTTTCGGCTAGAGAAGAAAGGCAAGAGAGGAGCTCTACAATTTGAAAAAAAAATTGGCTAAGGCTAGGAGGTAATAGTGGTGGAGCTTGGTGGTGTAGGGGTGGTGCAAGAAATAAGTCAACTAACCTATTTTCTTTCCTCTTAATTTTATAGATTAAATTTTTAGTATGAATATTGGGTATTATATGTAGTTTAAGAATGATGTTTTGAATGTAATTGGGTATTGTATGTGGGTTTTATATGATGCTTGTTATGAATGTGTAGTACCATGGGTGTTGCTTGAAAAATTAACATAACGTTTGTGTGGGTGTGTGGGTATAATTAGTGTCATTATAAAAAAAATAGATTTGTTGTATCTGGATTGCATTTTGCTCAAGAGAAATAATAGCTTAGTGGATAATGTAGAAACCTTGTGAAGTGTTCTTGAATTTGCATGAATCTATGAGTATGATTAATGACAAGAAAACATGTAATTTTATGATTTTATAGGAAATTATGCAAATTCGAGTATACTTTGTGAAATTTATAATTTTATGAGAAAGGTTTAATTTGGGTATAATTGGTTCGAATAAATATTACCTTAATGGATCTGAGAAGATTAACTCAACTCGATTCGAGTAGATAATTTTACTTGATGTAATANTATCACAAGTGTTAAACAAGAAGAATAGTTTTTAATTCTTAACCCATAATAGAGGGAGGAAAAGACAAAAGGTGTATAAGATGAAAGTGTATTTTTCAGCACACAGATTGGCATGGGTTGCATATGTATATATACTAGAATTTGTACACAATCAAAGGCAAAGATTGGGTAACCATTAGGAGAGGATTCTAGAATATCTTCCATAGGCCCCCATAAGCTTAATAGGAGANGAATTTGTACACAATCAAAGGCAAAGATTGGGTAACCATTAGGAGAGGATTCTAGAATATCTTCAATAGGCCCCCATAAGCTTAATAGGAAAGGTTGGACATTGAGTTTGAAGTGAAGGAAATAAAATCTAGTGGACATCAAAGACTTCGTCAAGACATCAACAAGTTGATCTTTGCTAGACAAGAACTAAACGTCAAGATCGTGGCGTGCCACTTTTTCACAAACAAAATGATAATCGATATCCACATGCTTAGTGCGAGCATGCAAAATTGGATTAGCCAAAAGATATGTGGCGTCGATGTTATCACACCAAAGGATGGGTGACTGGGGAAGAAAATTTCCAAGTTCTTTGAGGAGAGGTTGAATCCAAATTAATTTTGTAGTAATGTTCGCCAAGGCTTTGTATTCAGCTTCAGTGCTAGACTGAGCAACAGTAGATTGTTTCCTTGATTTCCATGAAGTAAGATTAGGCCCAAGAAAAACATAGAAGCCACTTATGGATCGTTGGTTGATTAGCCCTAAGTATTGCATTTGTATCTTATCATTTGTGGGCTAATTGTCACAAGTTTGGACTTAATTGTATGAGATTAATGTTGTATTTGATTTTATCATGATTTAATTGGTGTTTGTTTATTTTACAGGTGAAATTGTGAGATTAGGAGGTAAATAGATAATCATGAGAGTGAAATTGTAAACCCAACATGTCTAAACTATTAACAATCGTCCAATTAGCTTCGTTTTGCATTTAACGTCTCCATTTACATCCTAAATCAAAATATAAGAATAATAAGTATGTTTAGGCTCCAAATAAGTATAAAAGGCTAATTATTAAAAGATAAAAAAATATGACATTTTGCATTCTTANATGATGCTTGTTATGAATGTGTAGTACCATGGGTGTTGCTTGAAAAATTAACATAAAGTTTGTGTGGGTGTGTGGGTATAATTAGTGTCATTATAAAAAAAATAGATTTGTTGTATCTGGATTGCATTTTGCTCAAGAGAAATAATAGCTTAGTGGATAATGTAGAAACCTTGTGAAGTGTTCTTGAATTTGCATGAATCTATGAGTATGATTAATGACAAGAAAACATGTAATTTTATGATTTTATAGGAAATTATGCAAATTCGAGTATACTTTGTGAAATTTATAATTTTATGAGAAAGGTTTAATTTGGGTGTAATTGGTTCGAATAAATATTACCTTAATGGATCTGAGAAGATTAACTCAACTCGATTCGAGTAGATAATTTTACTTGATGTAATAGATTACCTCACTTGACTTGAATTGATTATTAAACAATTAGTTTAATCGATTCGAGTAGATAATGTTATTCAATGTAAATGACTTATTCGATTCGACGCGATATAATAAGTGGACTCGGTTCGGATAAATTATCTCGAACTTAAGCAGTATTACGTATTAATGTTCGAATGAAATTGTAAATATTGGATATTCCAAGTCTGAAGATGAACATTGCTAAGAATGTCACACTAAAAGTTCCAGCGAAAGGATCGGCAACGAGATATAACTTCACGCGAGCTAGGTGCACCACCCAACATTTTTCGTGATCATTTATTAGACTTTTATACATGTGTTTTTGCTATGGTTATTATTGGGAATAATTAATTGAGCAGAGACACACAGTAGTGTTTACGAGAATCGTCTAGATGAGAGTGAACTATGTGATTTGGGCCGTCTAAGTAACATGAATTATTTACGTGGAATGAGTCCTCTACGTGGTGAGAATTACTCAAGTGGCATGAGCCGTCTAAGTGATGATAATTATTTAAGTGGCATGAGTCTTCTAAGTGACAAAAATTATTTATGTGGTGAAGTCATCTAAGTGACGCGATCGAAAACTATGTATGTGGTGTGTGTAGTCTGAAGGACGAAAATTATTAATGCGGTTTGAGTTGTTCGAATGATGAATGATATTTATGTGGTGATACAAACTTGCGATACATGTTACCTATGTGACTCACATTGTCTGTGTGACAGTTATAACCTATATGGCGGATTATCTGTGTGACAGTTATAACCTATGAACGGATATTTCCTGTGTGGCGTATTTTGCTTATGTAACAATTTATCGCTTGAGTGGAGAATATTGCCTGTGTGGCATAAGAGTCTGTGCAATTAAATATTGTCTGTGTATTAATTTGCTTTTTACTGGGTGTTTATCACTTGTGTGGTTATATGGCCCGAGGTGTGTGCGTGAGGGGTATTTGTTGCGCGACACAATTCAATTATGTGAAAGTAATTATTTGTGCGGTATATTTTGTCTATGTGGTATATACACGTTATGTCTATGTGATATATACGAACAATGTCTATACGGTAAAATGTAATTTAAAAATAAGTAATTGTTACGTTGTTAAGGTTGTTCATAAATAAATAAAGTGTTCTTTATCACTTGTTGTACTCATAATTATTGATCGCATCATTGCTCTCACTAATGGTCTTAATGACTTTTAAGAAAAAATCGTAGAAACGTGAGGAGTCTTTTGTCAAGTATAGAAGGTCGATTGGATGTCATCATGGGAGTCTTGTTTATATATCCTTTAAATTTAAAATATATTTTTATATGTTGTAGCTTTAAGATCAATGTTACAGTCTGTAAATACATAGAGTTCATGGCGAGCCGTTCCATTAAAGAGGTTTGGTGAATTTTTATGTACGTGTATTTATATATATAGTAAGGTGTATAGAAAAATGACAAGAATATATAATTGTTGTTAAGTTCTTTTTATCATTTTGTGACAGATATTGTATCCCGTAACATTAACTTCTTATAACTATCCATAATTACATACAATTTCTCATTATTTATCTCTTATAATTTTTATATCTCTTTTACTCTCCAATAATCATCTCACTTCAAAATTGAAAACAATAAAAATCAAAAAATCGATGAGGACCAGTACTAATTAATGGAGAATTAGGTTTTGGTGTCCATCTATAAAATTATTATAATAATATCCATATATTCTTTCTAATAATTATCCAATAACTTTCTTTTTTATTAATATTTTTATATTTTTTCAAATGACCATTTACAACCACTTATAAGTTATAATGTTGGATATTACATCTACAAATTTTTATTTTTATCCATTATAAAATTCTCACACATACATGTAATATCCGATAAATAATTTTATCTTTAATCACATTTAACTATTTAAATTTATCTATTATATTTTTTTCTCATTTTCATATATTTCTCATTGGTGGTTCCATACCATTCATACACCAACAGGATTAACACTAATGTTATTGGGACATAATTTGTGAATTTAATGTATTATGATCATTAGATTGATAGTGTTGAGACCAATAATATTTTAATATTGAGACCTATTGATAATCTAATGATTATAATCATTAAAATTTTAAATTATATCATCAAATTATGTTTAAATAACATAGCTCTCACATTAAATAACTTCAACCTACCCAGCAGGGCCATTTTGGTCTAAAAAAATTACGTGAACGATAATTCGCCAGCGTTCGCGCGGGACAGTTACTTCCCAACTTCCCCGTCCACAGGTATCCTCGTAAGTCGTAAGTCGTATTCCCGCCACGCGGTGTCCTTCTCATTAGGTCCCTAACTTTCACCTTCATCTTCAACCTCTTTAGAATCGTTCAGATGTTCGGATCAGATCAACAATGGCTTCCCAAAACCCTAACGCTCGAACCCCAATGTATCCACAAGTGATCGCCTCAAACCCAGAAACCTCATCCCCGTTTTCCTCCTCCAATTCCGCTCAGCAATCATCAATCTACCCTAGAATAGACACGGAAGACCTCGTCGGAAACCTTTTCCCAGAACATTACGAAACTACCCCTGATCACAATCCCAATTGCCCATCCGCCCCNTACCCTAGAATAGACACGGAAGACCTCGTCGGAAACCTTTTCCCAGAACATTACGAAACTACCCCTGATCACAATCCCAATTGCCCATCCGCCCCAGCCGAGTCCGTCGAAGAGACACTCCTTGTCGTTCCCGGCGCAATCCTTCATTTAATCGACAAACAATACTCCGTCGAGCTCGCTACCGGAGATTTATCCATACTTCGTCTCCGACAAGGCAATAATATCGTCGCCGTACTAGCCCGAATCGCCGATGAGATTCAGTGGCCATTGACGAAAGACGAAACCGCGGTAAAACTCGATCACTCGCACTATTTTTTCTCGTTCCGTGCTCCTAAAGAGAGCGGATCGGACTCAGACGACGAGGAAACAACTAATAAACCGTCGCCAGAGACGGAGGATATATTGAATTACGGATTGACGATTGCGTCGAAGGGACAAGAGGGTTTGTTGAGGGAATTGGATGGGATTTTGGAGAATTACAGTAGTTTTTCGGTACAGAAGGTGGAGGAGAAGGGGGTAGTAGTGGATGTGGCGAAGGAACTGAGTCCGTCGGACTTGAAATCAGAGAAGAAGAAGGAGGTTTTGGAGGGGAACTGTGCGGCGTATTGGACCACATTGGCGCCCAATGTGGAGGATTACAGTGGAACAGCAGCGAAATTGATTGCGATGGGTTCGGGTCAGCTGATCAAAGGGATTTTGTGGTGTGGGGATGTGACTGTGGATAGATTGAAATGGGGGAATGAGGTTATGAAGAAGAGGATGAGTGCGGGAGAGAAGTCAGAGATTAGTCCTCAGACATTGAAGAGGATTAAAAGGTTTGGTTTTTGTTGTTTCTTCTTTGCTTGACTGTTGGGTTTTGTTTGTGTTACTTTCTAGATTTCGTTTTCTCTGTTTGTATCTCTGATTTGGATTGGCCGTTTACATTTTGTCTGTTTGCATGAATGTTTTTGTTGGCACTGTGTGAGTCTATGGATGTTGTGCTCTTGTGCTTTTGGATTTCGTTTTCATGGAAATATCGGTGATATCAGATATAAGGGACTTGAATTGCTACTTGTAAGGGAAAGTAGTTCTCCATTTCAGATGATCCTACCAGTTGGGCTGACCACATTTAATAATGATGTAGTTGCATTAATCTTGTAGGGTTAAGAGGGTGACAAAGATGACACAGAAAGTAGCAGGTGGGGTGCTTTCAGGTGTTGTGAAAGTTTCAGGATTCTTCACAAGTTCAGCTGCAAACTCTAAAGTGGGAAAGAAGTTTTTTGGCCTCTTGCCAGGGGAAATGGTCCTTGCTTCTCTGGATGGATTTAGTAAGTTAATTATCTCTTGATTTCGTTCTCAATTTTGTGTGCTCGTTCCAATTCTAAGTGTGGACACAGAATTGGAGCCCCTTTCAAGAAGCTACCAGTCCATGAGTTTGAATCTCCCCTTGGGGCTACCTACATAGTCTTTGGTCCGGGGTTGCCTGGTGCATGACTCTTGTGGGGTGGGTCATGAACCATATTGGATGCTGTACGAGGTCTACAAAGCTTCCTTATAAAACAAAATTTAAAAATGAACAAAAAACAGAGGTGATTCATTTTGAGCATCAAAAGATGACTTCGAGAAAATGGCTACCTGGTTGAAATACAGTGATTAATTGAGTGATTTTTTCATCCTCAATATAGATGGTATAAGATCAAAAAAAAAAAAAAGATGATCCTTAGAGAGTGGGGATGACTCTTACTGATATTAATATAGGGTAAATAAGTTCATATAATCATTTTGATTCTAGCCTGCAACACTGAATATTTTCTTGTGTTTGATTTTCTTTTTAAGAAAAATACAATCTTCAATGGTAGTGAACATGTGAATTCATTTTCCTTTCTTGAGGCAGTTCTTTCTTTTTACACGAACTTAATTAGTGTCCTTTGTGTATAGACAAGGTCTGTGATGCTGTTGAAGTAGCTGGGAAGAATGTAATGTCAACCTCATCCACAGTGACGACTGGACTTGTTTCCCACAGGTGAAGTTGATCCATGTTAATTCAATGATGAATAAAGCGGTGGAACACCTAAAAGGAAAAAAAAACCCAACCATCCTAAAAAGGAATCAATATAAACTAAAGAATCTTTTATTAATGAAATGATTAATAAAGTCTAGTGTCATATCTTGCTTCTACCGGAGTATTGAATTCAGATGAATTTAGTTGTGAAGGTATAGCAGACTAGTGTGTGGATAAATTGACAAACTTTTACCATTAGAAATCGCAGTTTTGGTGTAGTCAAAGTACATGTTTGTGGAGTAAATTAAAGACTACATCTTCTTAANAAGTTCATATAATCATTTTGATTCTAGCCTGCAACACTGAATATTTTCTTGTGTTTGATTTTCTTTTTAAGAAAAATACAATCTTCAATGGTAGTGAACATGTGAATTCATTTTCCTTTCTTGAGGCAGTTCTTTCTTTTTACACGAACTTAATTAGTGTCCTTTGTGTATAGACAAGGTCTGTGATGCTGTTGAAGTAGCTGGGAAGAATGTAATGTCAACCTCATCCACAGTGACGACTGGACTTGTTTCCCACAGGTGAAGTTGATCCATGTTAATTCAATGATGAATAAAGCGGTGGAACACCTAAAAGGAAAAAAAAACCCAACCATCCTAAAAAGGAATCAATATAAACTAAAGAATCTTTTATTAATGAAATGATTAATAAAGTCTAGTGTCATATCTTGCTTCTACCGGAGTATTGAATTCAGATGAATTTAGTTGTGAAGGTATAGCAGACTAGTGTGTGGATAAATTGACAAACTTTTACCATTAGAAATCGCAGTTTTGGTGTAGTCAAAGTACATGTTTGTGGAGTAAATTAAAGACTACATCTTCTTAATTTATTTTTCTCCTCCTTCATTTTGTTTTCTTTTTATTTTTCTTTCTTTTTTTGGGGGGTGGGGGGTGGGTGGGTGGGTGGGTTTTGAATTGCTTCAAAATTCAATGTAGTCTTAATCCATATATTTATCTCATCATTGAAGTTTCCAAGTATGTTCATGATTATTTGTATAACACGTGCTAAAACTTTCAGCACATTTCTCAGCTCTGACACTGAATACAAATAGACTTGCATCCTGTGATGTGGTGCAGTAACATTTGTATTTAGGGCGATCAAAACCCTACTTTTTCCCATACTAAAGTGGGTAAGAAGTTGTGTGAGTCCATTCCGACATCACCTGGTAGTTTTAGTACCATCTTTGTAAGAATAAGAGCATGTCAGAGAGAACAGACAGCATTTAAGTTTTGTGTTGCCATTATATTAAGAACATTAATTTGGAGGATTCCATTTTGTCCTTGTGCAGGTATGGGGAAGAGGCAGCCAAGGCAACAAGTGAAGGGCTTGATGCTGCAGGGCATGCCATTGGAACTGCTTGGGCCGTTTTTAAAATTAGAAAGGCACTCAACCCAAAAAGTGTTATGAAACCAACTACCCTGGCCAAATCTGCTGCTAAAGCTGCTGCTGCTGCTGAGAAGAAGGCTAAGAGTTCTAAGTAATGGCTGACATGCACAGTTAATTTGGTCCCTCTACAGTAGAGATATTGGCAATGAAGTTCTTAACTCTTTTTTTGTGGTCTAATCCCTGACATTTGACATTTAAAAATTTAGATCCTCTGGTAATTCTGGTAGATACTGCTGCTATAGGTGAAAATGTTTGGTTAGCAGGTTTTTATCTTGTTATTTTGTTGTAGATTTATTGATTTCATTCACTGTTAAACTAGGAGATTGATTGCAACAGAACTGCTAGAAGTTTGAATAGTTGACTTTGTGTCATCAAGACACAGCTAATCAGTTGTTTAATGATTGCTTGTAGCATCCTGTCCTGTTAAATCAAAAGTTTTCTTTTATCTTCATATCATACAAGACTCCAAGGTTTCCAATAAAAATATTCTGGTAAGGTTAGGCAGAGAAAAGGAGAAAGTTATCTGGAATGCAGCATGAAATACTAAAAACCATCTCTGAGAGGAGGGTTGCAACAGTCTGCTTGACAATATTTTTTTTCCGCTATGGAGCCTTGAAGCAAGGGTTTTGAGTAAGGTGTGGCTCTCAAATTTTTGGATCCATGCATCAAAAGGTGGCCAGTGAGGCTTTCCTGGTCCATGTGAATCACATTGCAGGTGTTCCCAATGCTTTGAAGAGCTGTTCAAGTAAGTCCCATTTTTAATTTCCCCTTTCTTTTCCTTTTTAATTTTGTGTGTGTGGTTTGGGGGGGGGAAGCAAGGGACAGTTAATTGTTTGCAACTTATACTATTTTGCTAATTAATCCACCAATAAGGGTTGTCTAGCTCCATTTGTTTTGCAATGTTAATGTGTGTAGGCTTCCCATGTGATGTGTTACCAGGGCAGGCTTTGTGTATATACTGCCTTGTGTGTCTTAACTTATGTCGTACTTTGTCTCTATTGGTCTTCATAACTTAACATCCCCCACGAAAAAAGAAGAAAATAAAGATGACTCCTTTGTGTGATTAATTGCATAGCCTTCGTGTATTCTGATATTGAATATTGAATGTTGACGTAAGATTGGCTCAGTCTGAGTAGTAACTCTATCCGTTGGTGGTGATGGAAAATTNTTGTGTGATTAATTGCATAGCCTTCGTGTATTCTGATATTGAATATTGAATGTTGAGGTAAGATTGGCTCAGTCTGAGTAGTAACTCTATCCGTTGGTGGTGATGGAAAATTTTCATTTTGTTCAAGATAGTGTCAAGGTGTGCCTCCTATGCATTAGGAAAATTTGGTGCTTGGTGTCGGGGTCTTATATTTGCTGGCTCTTTCCAGTTTGTCTATACTTGCAAGTGTATTGGTGGAGCTAAGTGTTGCATAGTGGTATCAATTGATGTGTGGATTGATTTTAGTGGTCTCAAGAATGGACGAGTGGTTTGATTTCATGGTTCACTTTCACTTGGCTAAAAGTATGAAAAGCTTATGTGAGAGAGACTGAAACAATATATNATAGTGGTATCAATTGATGTGTGGATTGATTTTAGTGGTCTCAAGAATGGACGAGTGGTTTGATTTCATGGTTCACTTTCACTTGGCTAAAAGAATGAAAAGCTTATGTGAGAAAGACTGAAAAAATATGTAATGTTTCCTATGCAGTCCTTTATTTTTTGTTGGTGTGGTACAGCAGTCTGTTTATCATGAAAACATCGTTTTCACATTCTGTGCGTAACCATTGGAATGTTCTTTTAAATGTCACAATGCAATCATTCGTTCAAACTATGTTTATCAGTTTGGTAAACATCATTTTCTTCGTGGGGCCGTAATTCTTTATGGTAAAGACTTTTGAGACATTAGATTATGTGTTTGTTAGTGTAGGAACTGTTATTTTATCAGTCATGCACACATCATATATTCAGAAGATCTTTCTGNAATCATTCGTTCAAACTATGTTTATCAGTTTGGTAAACATCATTTTCTTCGTGGGGTCGTAATTCTTTATGGTAAAGACTTTTGAGACATTAGATTATGTGTTTATTAGTGTAGGAACTGTTATTTTATCAGTCATGCACACACCATATATTCAGAAGATCTTTCCGCTTTATCCGTTTGCTCAAAGCTTCAACAGGTACCCTGCTGGTGCTGGAACCAAGATGTACATCTGATTAGCCGCCTTGATGTCGACCAAGAGTTGNGCTTTATCCGTTTGCTCAAAGCTTCAACAGGTACCCTGCTGGTGCTGGAACCAAGATGTACATCTGATTAGCCGCCTTGATGTCGACCAAGAGTTGGCCGCCAGCTAACTCTCTTTTGTGTTGTGCTTAATGTTAATGGTCTATCTTTTCAAGACTCGGTTTCAAGCCCGGATAAAGTAGTAAGTATTCGGTTGTGTCAGGTCTATTAACTATCAAGATTCATACAACCGACCTTTGAAATAATTGAGAGACATTTTTGTTGAGTTGGTCATCAACTCACGCATGGAGATTTAAGAGCTACCACATAATTTTTTTTTTATAAGGATTCAGATCCTCTTTATTACACTTTCACTCAATTCTATTGAATAGTAGATCATTAATTGTGTATTGGTATAAAACCCACTTATAAATATGGGTCTCACTAACATTAATGATAGGTGATCTATTAGGAAGTGATTGTTTGGACCCAAATATGGCTGATGTCAAAATATGACATGATTCGTTAATACGACATGAACATGATATAAAATTAAAGAGTTTAAATCTTCTTTAAATCACATGCTTATAAACGAGTGGATTCAACACGACACAATTGATAAATGAATCAAGTATGAGTGAAGTCAATCAAAAGAAATATGCGATACTACTCGTTTATATATTAGTTATATACCGTTCATAGATGGCATAAACTGGATATGACATGATTTGTTAGACACAAATTAATAAATAAATCGGGTATTAGTGAAGTGTTTCCTAACACAAACCTATTAAAATTTGACATAAACTCGTCTCCTCTGAAATGATTGACAAAATATTAATGACTACCGTGGCCTTGGGAATTAGGGTCGGCTCAACAATATGGAAAAAAAGAAGTATGAGCTTTAGGTCCCAAATTTTTAGAAGCTCNTCTCCTCTGAAATGATTGACAAAATATTAATGACTACCGTGGCCTTGGGAATTAGGGTCGGCTCAACAATATGGAAAAAAAGAAGTATGGGCTTTAGGTCCCAAATTTTTAGAAGCTCTTATAATTTTAGGTACATCACTAACTCACAAAAAAAATTAAATTTATTAAATTTTAAGCCTTACAAAAAAGCCCCAAAAAATTAAATCCAATCAAAATTTTTAGTGAAAATTGGAGGTGAGTCCTTGTAGATGGAGTTATAATGATTTGAGTCCAGGAAGGAAACTTATTTGGAGTTAAGTTTATGATTAAACTTATATGTAGGTATTTAAGTCCATTTTTTTTTAAATCTCAAAATTACCCCTAACGGTGTGATTTTTATCTAATTATAAAAAGTTACATATTAGATCATTGAAGTATATATGAAAACTGTTGATTGAATTATATATGAAAACCGTTAATTGAGTTATATATGCAAACCATTTATTAAATATCCTGATAATTAACGAAAGTTTTACATGGAATGTATATATTCTGATAGTTATATATGGAAGCTTGATGTACAAATAAATCGTTGTTATATTAAGTGANTAATTGAGTTATATATGCAAACCATTTATTAAATATCCTGATAATTAACGAAAGTTTTACATGGAATGTATATATTCTGATAGTTATATATGGAAGCTTGATGTACGAATAAATCGTTGTTATATTAAGTGAAATTCAGATCACAAGATTTCCTTAACAATTCAAATTCAATAGTAACATGATACAAACATAAAGTAATATAATACAAGTTTAGGATGACATTGTAGCATGCTGTTATATTATCAATATTCTAACCAGCATATAGTAATATAATACAAAATTACCAAGCGTAATGAATATAAAACAATTATCAAGAATTATATGCAAAAATAACATGAACAATACCACCCAATTAGTTGATGTAAATATAGTAACATTATAATGGACTTATAATATTATGTATAATGTAATGTTCATTCCATAAAATTGAAACATGGGAACTCAAAATTGTATTTGACTGATGTTACTGAGATTCAGTTAAAAAATTAATGGATTTATAATATTATTATGTATAATGTAATATTCATTTCATAAAATTGTAACATGAGAACTCAAAATTATGTTTGGCTGATAGTACTAAAAATGATGTTACTAAGATTCAGTTAAAAAACTAATGTTACTAAGCTGATGTTACTATGTTCACATAAGTTAATAGGGTGGCATTGTTCATGTTATTTTTGCACATAATTCTTAATAATTGTTATATATCCATTACACTTGGTGATTTTGTATCATGTTACTGTATGCTAGTTAGGATATTGATAATATAATGTCATGCTACAATGTCACCCTATGCTTGTATCACGTTACTATTGAATTTGAATTGTTAAAGAAATCTTGTGATCCGAATTTTACTTAATATACCAACAATTTATTCATACATTAAACTTCTATATATAACTATCGTAATATATACATTCCATATAAAACTTTCGTTAATTATCAGAATATTTAATAAATGGTTTTCATATATAACTCAATTAACGGTTTCTATATATAATTCAATCAAAGGTTTCCATATATAATTCAATCAACGGTTTCTATATATAATTAAATTAATGGTTTTCATATATATTTCAATGATCTAACCTATGTGACTTTCTATAATTATCAGACGTCGTTTGTTGTTATTCTGCAGAGTAGGGGTACAATAGTAAACTTGACAAAAAACGAACTTAAAATCAAATAAGTTTTTTTGCCGGATTTATTTCCAAATAAGTCCATATAAGAGGACCGATCTCCAAATTTTTTAAATTTTTATTGCAATAATTTGGGTCTATAATCCAATTCATAACATTCAAAACTTAGAAATTAAAAAAATATTCAAAAGTCAACTCATATTTACTCCTACTCTCTCTCTCCGGTAA